ATAGCATTATGACTTCTAAAGAATTCATAAGCAGACCCATATCACAAACTGGTTGAGATCTGCTGTGTAGAAATCATTGGAGTTTGTATACAAATAATCCATTGTTTTAGTGATATCATCACTGGAAGTTTGTATTATGATGTAGGTAGTTTCTAAATTTGTTTCTACCTCAGATGTGTCTGGGCTCAATCAGCTTTTCTTCTCTTGAGGAACAGTTGATGCATCACGACTTCAGCTTCTTAGACTGTCTATCAGTCGTCTCCTGACTGCGTCAGACTCATTTCTATGAGAAAGAACCGAATTGCTCGGCTCACTGCTGACTGCACGTGCCCTTCCACTTACAGGATTTAGCCCAAACTCTTTATCTGAAGAGAAAGTTTGATACAGACAAGCCCCATTCTGTGCCCGAGTTGTCTCTCTCACTGCAACCTCAACCTGTGTGGGATAGATGTTCGGGTCACAAAAAGCTCTTCAACATTTGTATAAACTCAGCAGAGACACAGTGCTGTGCTTTCTCCCTGGAAACACTTTCTGATTTTTTTATTTATTACTTTTATTTTATGTATATGAGTGTACTGCCCATGTCCTGCAATGCCCACAGAGGTTAGAAGAGGGCATTGAATCCCCTAGAACTGGAGTTACAGACAGTTGTTAGCTACCATGTGGGTGCTGGGAATCAAAGCCAGGTAGCAGCCAGTGTTCTTAACCACTGAGCCTTCTCTCCAGCCCCCACTTTCTGATTTTTAAGTTTTACTTTCCTGGTAATCGGTGCTTCTCCCATAGATGAAAAAGTCAGCACTTAGATGTGGTCACTGGTTTCTTAGACAGCAGGATGCATGTCGTTTGTCCATCTGTCACTCTTCCTATACTTTAACCTGTGCTCTGCTTCATAATCTGTGTATTTAGATGGATGAATGTATGTCTTTCTACAGTACACACAAAATTTCTTCTTGAAGACCCAGTACACACACACACACACACACACACACACACACATTCATACACACATATACACACACATAGTATAAAATAGTGAGTTTATGATGATTTAATAAATGCCTGAGTTTGTATGGCTCAATAAATACTAAATATTTGGGGGCAAGGTTCTTACACATGATAAATCTTGGTGGCTTTATTTTCTAGAAATTTTAAAACTATCATAGAATCTACTAATGCAGTGTGTCTAGCAAGAATAAAGTCAGGTTGTATTCAGATATTAGACTAATATTCTCATTATGAAAATGATTGAATGCATTATAGTGTTATTATTAGTCAACATGAATACATTTTCTTTTTATTATACTAGACTATTTTCTTGGGCATACAATAGATTCTTATATTTCAGTAAGGAAACACATTCTCTATTCTTACCTATTCAGTATCCTTGAAAATAGAGAAAGATTCATAGTCTTTATATTGTATTGCTCAATTCGGTTTATTCCATTGCTGATTTATGTGTGATGTTCCTATTCCATTCTTAAATAAAGGAGGAAGAGCTTGAGATGTACATATTTGTATTGCACAAACAGGTTAGAGTCAGAAGAATCTGTTGAGTGATTCCTGTAACGTTGCCTGGCAGCTACAGACAGATGTTTTCAGTAGAAAACTTAAGTTGTAAGGTATTTCCTGAGGTGAAAGTTCCGCACCCCACCCCCACCCCTGGAACATTGCCATTTAAAGACTGAGGAATTAGGAACCCTGTTCACATTCAGGGTATGAGAGCATTAAGGTTTGAATAGGAGCTAGATAAGGGTGTAATTCTGCCTTTCTGATGTCCTGTA